CGAGCGACTGAGAGTGGGGTGGGGGTTGGGGTGGGGAAGGGTGGGGTAGGGTGGGATGTTAACGTTCGGTTCAAATTACACATTCATACAGAAGAAACCCTTCTACGTGGCTACACAATACGAGTACGCGTGCTTGGTTGCGCATTTTAGCTAGCTTGCGTTTGCTTGTTTAAAACCCGTCTGGATTTATTCATATCTTTTGTTCGGATGGCACCAACCAATGGTTAGACGGTAGACTGGTCGATTTCTTCCATCCCTATTCATACACACGATAGAGTTACAGTACCAATATATTATATTAATATGTTATGATCATTTCCCTACAGGTCAAAGACCTTCATTTTACTGATCCTGTCCATGAATCATGTTTCATCAACGGTCTGAATGGCCCGGAGGACTCTTTTTTCAAATAGGTTCATCTGTGGAAACGTGACAAAGCATAAATTTTTTTCCAAAATGTGGTCAAAATTCAAAAAACGAACGTGCCGATGGGGACCCCTTTTTGCCAAGAAAATGCTGTAAGGGTTGCACAACGCAAAAAAAACGACATTTTTTTGAACCCTTTTTTCTTTCTCACAAATCAGCTGTCGCTGCAGCGAAACAGAGAAAAAGACAAAAATCGTGGGGCGGTAATAATTCCGCCGGGAAATCAGTGTACCCAAGCTTCTCCAATGCATCCCCTTCATGAGTTTTGGAAACAAAGTTGTAGCACCTTCCTTTGCAAATCCTGAATTATTTATCGATCATTTTTACCTTTTGCATGGTTGGACAAGTATGGACACTTTCAAGTCTTGATTGACACCACTTTTTGGGTACAAGGCACAGCGAACCTCCCCATCATGATTTGCTGGGCTAGCAACTGCATGTTGGTTTCTAGAGACAAAAGCACTTTGCATGACTTGGTTTTCTGGTTGCCTCCGACAGAAGTTGTCACATTTGTTGACTCTGGGTCATGGTCGCACACAGTCTACCAGCATTTTGCTTCGTCACAGGTATGGAATACACTATGTATGAGTGCAGACAGGACACCACAAAAACAAACCAGGTACATGGAAGCCAAGATAAATCATATCCCGACATGTTCGTTTTGGTTTGTTGCAGTTTACACAACATAATTGTGTGTTGTGCAATACTGTCCACATCCAGGTGAGCGTCGCCTATGTGTCCACTGCAGAAGTGTGGGTGGACAGTGCAGTTGATTGGACGCTTGATGGCCTGGCAAAGGCAAGACGCGACGGGCTTCGTCACCTTGAGACAGTGACTTGCCGCCACCCTGGCTCATCTCGTACCCTTTGAGGCTTGTGCGCGCTATCATTATTGGATCACAGCCTGCTCAGTCATAAAGTTCACTGCGAACAATGCTCGCTTTGCCTTTACCTTAGGGAAAGCCTTATCAAGTCTCAGACTCTAAGAATACCAGCTTGGAAGTTTGCACTCAAAATGTAAGGTGCGGCTACATGTACTACATGGGGTTGCTATTGGAGTAGTGTGCCGCCCAGGTTTTAGTTGTGCGCCTTGGAAGTGAGGAGAATGCCACGAAGGCACTGTCCATTATTTTCTGACCCCTACGAGAAACATCCAGCAGCAACACAATATGCAGCTTGCGGACGGCGCATTCATTAGCTAGACTCCAAATGCGCTGAAGTTTATTTCTTGAGAAGTGAAGAGCTCCCAGGCAGCCAACACTTCAGCGCTGGGCTCACTAGAAAAAAACGATTTTCTGGAGTATCACAGTGCCTTTGACGAGGGGTCCTGTGTTTGGATCCTGGATTCATGATTGCATTTTCTGTTTTTGGAAGCAATTTCACCCTTTGATGTTCATTCTTTTTGGGGAGGTAGGCCGCGAGTAGGCTGACAAGTAGCTAGTCGTAAGCGTTAAGTAGTGGCTCAAGTAAGCCACTAGCTACCATGCGGGAAAGGTTCCTTGAAGAAGCACTCAGGCTCGTATTATCCATTTGGTTCCTAAATGATGCATTGGTCATCGCATCAACTCCGAATAGTAAATGTAAATCAGATCACTATGTTGCGATGGTTCACATTAGCACCCAACCACAAGCAGTGTCAGCTGACAGAACACCTTTGGCGCCCTTCCACTCAGTGGTGTAGGTAGCTTTAAAGATTTGGTGAGCCTTCATGGGCTGTTAGCTTGTGATAGCTTCTTGATCGGCGGCGTCGTGCAATTCCAACTTTGGTGGACGGTGAGGCAAGGTGACCCTTCCAACGCAATTTCACAATCTCCAAACTGCCAATGTAGCACGTCGGTCGCACGAAACAACTTATTTCAGATTCAATAGTTCCCCAGCCCATTTTTGGCATACGTCCAACCTAGAGATTTGGAAAGGAGATTTTGCTGTTCCTTGTGAAGTGAGAGTCTGCTGCGGCTGTGTGTCTCCATTTTTGCAATTGTTTCTGCATAAAGGCCAGGAGAGGTTGCCCGAAATAGTTTCAACCAAATATGAAATATGTTTTTGGAGTTTTCGACATGAAGTAACGCAGTTTTCATATTTTTGTTCAGGTTCGTTGCCACGGTGACGTTTGATTCACTGCAGGTGTTTGGGACCTGTTGCGGTCCAAGAGGCCATCGGGAGAGGCTCGTCGATTGAAGCGCCTCACGCCACTGCTGACTTTAGTGCGTTTGCACCTCAGGACACTCTGACGTTGGTGCTTTCATATGCAGAGAAAAACCATAATAAGTACGCTTTGGCCATTGGGTAAAGCTGCAGCTTCATCTCAGAAGGAGTTGTTCACACTTTGTACTCTGCTCACCTGCCCCAAAGCTGTTTTCCTTAGCCTGCTTTTCACACTTCCTTCCTTTTATGCCTTTGAGGTGGGCAGACCTTGCTACATGAACCTGGCTTCTTGGTGCTGCGCCCGATGCTGGAGCAGGTAATCTGTCGCGTGGCAGATAAAGTGAGCCGTTTGCTTATCCAATCCTGCCGTGCATAATCGCCAGTCCTTCCAAGAGACAATTGAAAGATTTATAGTCTTGGAGTTCGTGCTGGGTCCTGTGGTAGACCCAGCACACACACACAAGCAATGTGTATTTTTCTAAGGTTGCACTTACAATGATGCTGTGGTTCACAATGAGATTGTCAGACAGGGAGCGCAGGTGGGTTCTTAATGTTTGTTTTCTCCTGCTTTTGTGTCTTTTGCATTGCTTCAAGTCAACAAGACAGTTTATCTTATTTTGGCTGGAGTCTCAAGCTGTGTTTGCCTTGGACAGTGAAGCATAGGCAGTGAAGTCTTCTGCAGTTGACATGGAGATCTTGCGAAGCTGCCGTGCTCTAGATTGAGCAAGAACCGTTTGCACAACTTTTCCAGTTCGTCCCCAAAGGGAGGACGAGCGTTGTTTCTTTGGGTGCTGGAGATGTGCTTCTCTTCGATTCAGGCACGTTGGCACTGATGGAAGATTGCGGCCCTGTGACCTGGAGTCAGCGTTGGAAGGACTGGGAAATGCAAATGCTCCAGATTTCTCATTCAATTATTCAATGCTGAAGCTTGATTCACTGCCTTTCTGATCCAGCTTAGGAGTTAGCCATGAGATGGATAGAGGTGCACCTGGAGCAAATCCTTGCGAATGATGCACTTCTTCTCCTGCTGATGGAAGCTACTTGCATGCTTAGATTGAGTCATTCGCTTGACTGTGATTGTTGCTGAGGGCTGCATTGTCAACGGTGAACTCCTCAAAGGTTCAAAGCTCCATTGATATACTCCCTTGGATGGTCAAGGTGTTGATCAGTTTGACTTGAATTGCTGAGGCTTCTCAGTTGGAGGCCTTTCAGGATTTATGTCGACAGCTGCAGGCTGCAGGTGCGACATTCCCACTGCGGCATCATCTACCGAAGACTTGCTTTTGTAGCAATGACCACGCGCATGAACCAGAAGCGAAGCTTCCTTGGAGTGCTTCCTGTCCAACATGTTCAGCTCTACGAAACCTTTGCCTTGCAACTGAGAATTGGTGCTGCATCAAAATGCACTGCTTGAAGCGTCATACATAAACAGCTACTATATACATGTGTAGTGATTGTTTCAGCTGCTGAGAAGCCTAACATGTAGCTAAGCAGCAAACTGGCTAACCAACCCTAGGCCCACTCAATAGTATGGATGTCGGGTGCAAGCTTTGCACCTTACTTGTGGTAGAGGTAGTGCCAGGCAATTTCTCTTTGCAGGTGCGGGTTGCACCCTCACTGCATTCAGCTTTATCCATGGGGCTCGCCGGTGGGGCTTCGCTCTTTTGGCGGCCACCTGGGCTTCATTCCTGTCTGAAAGTGTTGGTTTCTTGACTTCGTAACACAAACGATTCCTTCATGGGCAAGACTCGGTAGCCTACTCAGTAGCCTTCGTATTATCCAGTTGGTTTGATTGACACGTGTCAATATTGTCCATGATCTTTCTTGTTTAATATTTACATTTTTGGTCCTTTCTTTGTCGAATACAGATCACTTGAAAGACTTGGCAAGAAAGAATGCAATGCAGGCAGCCTCCGTTGCGTTGCCACCTTTGAAGCTGCAAAAGATGCGCTTCCTTCTTCAAGCGGACTCGGTAGCCGCAGTAGCTGATGCAAAAGAAGGTCCAAAAAAGCCTTTGATGCGGTGTTGCGTCCCCGGCGGGGCACGTCTATTTCTGCAGCAACTGCTTGTTGATCAGAGATAGCGCAGCTTTAACCCTACAACAGAAAGTGACGTGACACGGGTGACACGCAGGTCGTTTTGCGCGTACTTTGCATTGCAGTCTAGCTGCTGGCTAGCAAGAAATGTTGAGGGCTTTGAGTAATGGCGCCTTTTTGGGCTTTCACGACCATGGTAATGTTTTTCACTGATCACTCCAGAATGCAAGAGGTATTATTCTGAAGACTTGGCGAAAGGGCTTAATGAGGACATTTCTAAGAATGATGTCTCATCGCAGAATTCATCCTTGGGTTTGGTGGATGTGATGTGTGAATGAACACTGCCTTTTGACCTCTCTGACAGGCTCTTACGTTGGTTTCCTTCACTGGTCTCAAAGTTCAAGCCACCGTCCTTTGCCATTTTGACATTTCAAATGTTTTGATTCTTTCCTTTGGCAAGCCAAGTACGTGGGTACTTTATACAATATATATTATCCATATATTATCCATACACAGAGGTCACATAATATGTAGTTACAGTCGTTGGCTCACCTGAGAATGTGGTTGACGGGGTATTTCGGCTTGTGCACATCAGCTTGAAGATAGGACATGGTGAAGCACGGACACAAAGTGCTGAACACCATTGAACAATTCCTTGACTCCAAAGCTATTGGTTTCGATAAGAGCTTCTCAATGTCAAGAGCAGGCAAATCTTGACACCCAGTAACCTCTTGCCTCCCAAAGGAAAAAACTAAGAAGCGCGCACTAATTGCACAAACAGCCGCAATCTACAGCAGCTTTAGCAGCCTGAGCAGTCTACTTGGACTCTTCAATTGAATTATCACTTCGGGCCAGCAGCGCCAGCAACAGGCTTGGAACCTGGACCGGAGAGCCCCACCACAACTTTCAGGGATTGGGGTGCAGGGCAGTGATGAATTTATTTGTAAGCTTCTCTCTACATTTTCAATGAACGAACTCAGTGGGTGCTCGGGGTTTTGCCTAGCATCGTCTTCCCGAAAGGGATCGGGCATTTTTCAACCAACTTTTGCCAAGACAACCTCATGGAACTTCGGTGGCCTCGGGCAAGGAACATCACAGTCCCTTGCTACTCCATGCAAGAAAGCTGTTCTAAACATGCATTGTTTGACCAATCCACATCCTCGCCAGGCAGCGTATGGGGTGTGTGGCGAACTGAGTTCAGTTCCAAGACACGTACTGAGTTCAGTACCAAAAGATGAATGGCATGTTCTGTGAGAAGAAGGACGTGATGATTTGAATTTGCACAGAAGCCAGAAGGATCTTCAACTTCCCCTTAAACCTTGGCCTGTCACAGCTTGGCAACCTGATGAGTTCCGCCTTCCTTTTCTTGCAAACGACCACCGTCTTTCCAAGCCCAAGGCGACCTCTAGGCCTTGAGCAATGTTCGCGTGGAACTAAGTTTGTTGGGCTTGGATATTTGTCACCGTTGTTACATGGACTTTAAAGGTCTTTTTAGGCTTTTACTGTAGGAGAAAAGTTCATGGTTCGTGTCGCGCCCTCTGAAGGTCTACCTGAGCAAGAAGATCGCCATACCGCACCAGCTGGCATTGCAGGCCCAGAACTTTGCCACATTTGGACACAAAATGTCCCAGACAAACCAGAGATTCCCAAGTGACAACACGATCTTCAGATATTGAGGTGGTCTCTTGGAACTCTGCACAGGGATGGATCGCTTGTGGTGGTTGAAGACTTAGCTACGGGACACCTTTTCAGGATGACTTTTAGTTAGTTTCGTTTCTACGTTTTGGGTGTCACAAAACCGACACATGTGCCGCTTTCGGCTCTTCAGTGCCTCCAGTTTCTGAGGTGAAAGTGGCCTGCTCAAGGCTTGGAAGCAGTGGTGCCACTGAAACACTCTTATTTTCATCAAACGCATTGTGGATGTACTTCAAAACTCCACATATTTGAGCAACATGTACAAACTCATTCAAGCATGCAAACCGATGCGTTGTACTTCCTTTTTCCCATGAGTTTGTGCTATTTGTTGAAGAGGTTCGGATGAACATGCCACGTGTACGTACCGTTGATGCTGGCAGGTTCTGAAGCTGGAGTCCTCCGAGGGTGGCAAAGCGGCCGCCGGACAGAGCCACTTGGGCCATGGGTCTTTATGTTGCTTTGTCGACCTCCAGCTCCCCTGTTTGGGGCGTTGTAGCTCGCTGTCTTGGATGCATCTCGAGGCTTAATCATTTTCATCACTGTTCGTTTGAGGAGAACAGTCTGCTATTTTCTGGTGTGTACCTACCAACCTTCCGAGGCAATCTCTCCATGAACCAGACCTTAGAAGGGCATCAAGGTGCAAATGTCATTTTTTCAGTCTTTAGCCGATGCAGCCTAGTCATATCAGTGAGTCGTAAGATTGCACTGAGTTCTTTTCAAGTATGCAACGCCAAGACTTGCAATTGTAGGTTGGCAAGTTCCTAGTTCAGACATGTTCTGACATTTTTTTTGGCATAAGTAGGACAAATTACCACTGTCGCCAGTGCATGCTTTGATCGGCAGGCACCATCATGGTCATTACCTGGAACGAAAATTTCCGGAAACTGACCACCAGTGATCAGCCAGCTCCTCAATGTGTTGAGCTTTTCAAGCACTTGGTCATGTATGTTTGGCCTAGGCCTAGGATAATCTCGATACTTAGCTCTTCCATCTTTTTGGACAGTCCACTAAAAAGTCGCCCAATGTAATGTTTTGCTACGTGCCGAAACGAGACTGAGCACGTGCTAAATTCGGAGGAATGGCCTGATCATCGTTTGGATGCTGCACAGAGGCATATGGTTTGAGGACGACAGCGGAGCCAACTTTAGATTAGAAATGGATTCTTCTCAGCTTCCGTAGGTCTTTTGTGTTCTCCAACACGAACGGGCAGATGAGATTGATATCCTTGTTTCCTGATCATTTGACGTGAACAACAGAGGCATTGATGCAGAAGGAAAGCAGTGACAGCTTTTCCTTTGCTGAATGTATATACAGTGCCCATTTTTGCAGGAGATGATCAATAACCGCAACAGAAGTGTTGTCAGAGACATGAAGTGGAGTCCGGAACTCAACCACCAGCTATTGACATTTTGTTTTTTGTTCTCTTAGACGGTTTGATTTAGCTCTGATGAATTGCAAAGCTTTGAGAAAAGAGCACCAGAATCTTCAGACTGGTTTGGCACAGGGCCTTGCAATTTTGAAAAGAGGAAGCCGTGCCTCATGCCAAGGTGCTGACTGCCAGAAGTTCTTTGGCAGCGGTTGGCAACATTCAAGCGTTGTTCACACATGGCACTATTGAAGTTGTCAATCCTACAATGTAGTGACGAAACTTGAAGAGCATGGTCGGCTGTGCGATACTTATTCATCAAGCTTGGCCGCAGAGTCCACAGTGCTTGCTTCATGGCTCTATCCAAAATTGTCAAGCTTGCCGCGGAAGTGATTTGGGCAAAGATGTTATTGCTGTTGTACTAAAGCCATGGAACACAAATAGACACCACTTACTATTGGACGGATATGTTTGTTAGCCAAATAGCTTGCGGAAATAAAAGGACATGGACAATCCAGAAACCAACACATAAGGGTTTGCAAGATCTTGCAAGGTTCTCTCTGAAGCGTTTTCATGTTTACACCTACTGAAATGGTTCAGAAGCACCTTCTTTGCAAGTTGTTGCTCCTTTGTCCTCAGGATTTGCATCATCTATGAGGATGGTGCGGTCATCGTAGGCACAGTAGACGGACAGAGGTGCCACCTGGTGACGGTCGTGCACGTGTGATTCCTGTTTCTAGGATTGGAGGAGTTACTTCCTTTGTGGTCTTGTGTTTGCGATTTTCGGAGTGTAAGTTGAGGATTATTTAGCAGGCTTTTGACATGGACGCATCATTGGCAACCAAAGCAATCGATTGCATGTTGAGCACATTTCTCTTATTGCTTCGATGAAACTGGTCAGCACAACGGCAGGTTATGGGGGAAAGAGGTCCGCTCCCAAGCGGGCTGTACTGCACAGCGCCCTTTCTACCAGAGTTGTGCAAGGGGCGGGTAGCAATCCTATTGTTGCTCCAGCCTTTTCACCAAATGTACCTGCCGCTCAAGCAGACTTTGCTCTTCCTGCAAGAGCAGCACTTGCCAAGATTAACACTTGGTTGCCTTTTGAAGGAGATCCGCGTCACCTCGCACAACTTTTTGGTAATTGTGAAACAGGCTTAGTACAACTCCGCTTTGAGCATTTGTATGCTTCAAACGCTAATAATAAGGATTTATATAAAGACAACAAACATACATATGCATACATATATATATATATATACTGTATATACTTGTATGCATACACATCCAAAAGAGTGCGCAGTGCGCAGATTGAGGACACGTATGTTTGTCTGTATTCTGCCATAGCTGTGAACCCCAAGAGCCTAGATTTGTCACTGAGGTCAAGACACAGCTGGCATTTGTGGAGTGGTCACCAGACGGGAAGAACATTTTGTTCTGCACCTTGAATGGGGAGGCCGGGGAGTTTTTCATGAAGCTGAAAAGAGAAAACGCCCAGGAGTTCAGGATCTCCCTTCAAGCTAGTTGTCCAGCAGGCAGACCTTGAAAAACGCTAATTTCTCCTGCCAGGAGACGGGGTTTCCACCTAGTCAGAGGGCCCAAACTGCATTCTTCCTTGAAGGTGCATGTCTATGACAATGAAGGCATCTACTCGCACAAGGTTCCTATCTACTGCCCCTTGGCCGAAAGAATATGCTGCTGATTAGCGTCATGTCAAGTTCTTTTGTGGACAATTTGTTGCCTCTTGACACTGTTTGGAGCTGGAAGTCGTTTGCCTCAGACTTTGCCACAGTTCTGGAAGCTGGAAGATGACACAGATGACGAATCAGATGTTTCAAACGATTTGCTTTTATTTCGTCATCAAACAAGTGAAAGTTGAATTCAGCCAGGCTTAGACAGTGGCACGGAGGGTACCGTGGCCATTGCTGGCATTGACTGGTTTGCTGGCCCAAGCGGCCCTGACAACCAGGTGCATTTCTTCAGTGGAGAACTCCAGTCAAGTTCGGACGCTGCGTAACCGATGGCCTCTTGAGTCTCTTGAGACCCTTTAACCCAAGGTGACCGTGAGAACAGAGTCAATGAGAAGTGGTGCGAGGGTGCGGTTTGCTAGTGAGCTCCAAGAGTACAGCCCTGTTTCTTCGTTAGTGGGTTGTTGTGCTGCTAAAGGCTTTTCATTGTGGTTCAAGCTGTGGTACCAGTATGAGCTTTTTCTTGTCCCGTTCCAGTTGAGTCTACCAGCATTTCGACAAATCTGTTGCCCGCGCAGACGCCCACTCTTTGCCTTGGTTTTGAGAACGGGCGTGTCCAGATCATGCGGAGTGCCTTTGCTGCCAGTGAACGATTATTTGTAGAGGCACTCATAAATATCTATTTAGTTGTAGACTATTATTATATAAATCCATTTAAATCAATGTTTCGATAATTTGTTTATAATTATATACAACCTACCAAGACTTTCAGAGACATTGACGGATAGATTGGGAACCAGTTATGCAAACTCTCTTTTGGAGCTTGTTTGAACGGATTGACACGCACTGTGGCTTTTGATCAGGACGAGCACTCAGTCGCAACAACATCCTTCATTTTCTTATGCTGCAGCTAGTTTGATTGAAGCGATCTCAAAGGACAAATCCAGCTCTTAGTGGAAACTTGAAACAGCTCTTAGAGGAATAGAATTTGTTTGGCTTCTAGTACCTTTTGTCACTCGCTCAGGCGATGCAGATGATAAGCCTGTGCTGTTGGATACGCAGCTGCGCCTTGAGACGCAATAAAGTTCGATCCCATTTTTTGAAGGCCGCCATGCAGCTGAATCTACAAGCGTGGTATGCTTACGTGATGTGTTTTTGCCAACGAAGTGCATACAGTTTCAAGTTCACAGGCAATTCGTAGTGCGCCATTAATATTTTCCAGGTAGGCCTTCAGGTCTGGCCTGAACAATGTGTTTGCCAAATGCACCGATTCTTGGAGCTCGGATTACCTTGCCAATTCATCAAGGGACCCTCACCATTTTTGCAAACCCTTGTTGCTCAGCCTCGGAAGGGAACACAAGCAGCAGTGACTGACAGGACACCTGGACCTGATGAGTGGTTGATATATATATATAATGATATACATGTGTATATATACTGTAATTATAAACGTATATTTATAGTTATATATATATATGCAATATATATACACATACACCCTATGTATGTATGTGTGTATGAATGAATGTATGTATGTATGTATGTATGTATGTATGTATGTTTGTTTGTTTGTTTGTTTGTTTGGTATGTATGTTTGTTTGTTAGTTATGTATTGTATTGTATTGTATTGTATATATATTGTATTGTATGTATTGTCATGTAATGTCATGTAATGTAATGTAATGTAATGGTATGTAATGGTATGTAATGGTATGTATGTACTGTATGTAATGTAATGGTATGTAATGATATGTAATGGTATGTAACGGTATATAATGTAAGGTAATGCAATGTAATGTAATGCAATGTACTGTATTGGTATGTATTGGTATGTATTGGTATGTATTGGTATGTATTGGTATGTAATGGTATGTAATGGTATGTATGTATGTATGTATGTATGTATGTATGTATGTATGTA